AATACACAATTCCAGGTTGAAAATGCGGAAAATTTTATTCCAATTTTTCCAAAAAGCGTCGCTTTTCCATCGTCTCCAAATGATACAGCCACCCCGTGTTTCTTCGTTGCATTTCATTTCTGATCAATGAAACTGATTGGCAGTACTCAATTGTTCTTTCTTAGGTTATCAGGAAAGGAAAGCAACTATTGGACTTTGAAAAGGGAAATCGTCACAAAATAAGAAAAATTAAGCGCCAGGTATCAACATCCAAGTCAACCCTGCGTTGCGCAGTTTCGCCCGATTAGACACGTTCTCTCGCGCGAACATTCACACTCGCATGCTCGAGCCGTCTGCGTCTCCGCCCATACAGCGTGCGTTGAGGATCTCTCAACGTGCCGTTGCGAACTGCGCAACGCAGGGTTGACTCTGGTCCCATCGCGCGAAATTGTCGTTCATACGGAATGATTGGCAATTTCTTTTGAATCCTGTAGAAAATGGAACTTAGAGAAGGCTCTCGGACGTTATTCTTCGCTTTTTGATTAAGATAAATGCGAACATTATGAGAACAGCACCAAATTTCACCAAGGCGGGTTCGGAAATTGAGTCTTCTTTAGAACTTAATCTCCTACTGGATAGTGCTGGGAATGCAATAAACAACTTCCAAGATCGTTCTCAAGCTGAATATGAAAAGGACGGTGATTTTGAAAAGAAACCGTCGCGAAAACCGAGTCATTTTTGCAGGGGAATTCCGACCAAGCCAACCGGAGCAGGATCCATTTTCGGCCTGTTGTGTTTTACTTCTTTTCTGCCACTCTTTTAACGCGTTTCGCTCGAGATGGTTCCGTCCTGGAGTAATGCTTTTAATAGCGAGGAGAAAGTCAAAGGTAAAGCAGATAAGAAGTAAAACACAACAGGCCGAAAATGGATCCTGCTCCGGTTGGCTTGGTCGGAATTCCCCTGCAAAAATGACTCGGTTTTCGCGACGGTTTCTTTTCAAAATCACCGTCCTTTTCATATTCAGCTTGAGAACGATCTTGGAAGTTGTTTATTGCATTCCCAGCACTATCCAGTAGGAGATTAAGTTCTAAAGAAGACTCAATTTCCGAACCCGCCTTGTGAAATTTGGTGCTGCTCCATAATGTCGCGTTTATCTTAATCAAAAAGCGAAGAATAATTCCCGGACCTTCTACAGCTCCATTTCTACAGATTCAAAAGAAATTGCCTAATCACCGCTGCCGACAGAAATTTCGCGCGATGTTATCACGTCAACCCTGCGTTGCGCAGTTCGCAACGGCACGTTGAGAGATCCTCAACGCACGCTGTATGGGCGGAGACACAGACGGCTCGAGCATGCGAGTGTGAATGTTCGCGCGAGAGAACGTGTCTAATCGGGCGAAACTGCGCAACGCAGGGTTGACTTTGGATGTGACACCTGGCGCTTAATTTTTCTTATTTTGTGACGATTTCCCCTTTTTCAAAGTCCAATAGTTGCTTTCCTTTCCTGATAACCTAAGAAAGAACAATTGAGTACTGCCAATCAGTTTCATTGATCAGAAATGAAATGCAACGAAGAAACACGGGGTGGCTGTATCATTTGACATTTTTCCATGAACATTGGAATTATGATTTTCAACAATTTCTAGTACTTATCCTTAGGAGCCCCACTAAGATCATTTAAGAGCATAAACCAGTGCATCTAATCAAAAGAACCCGAACTAGGGAATAGGTAATGATGGCTCGAAAGAATGATGCTGAGATACACGCACACAGGGCTCTCGTCAATGTACAAAAGAAAATATAAGTTCACATAAACTTTTGTTTGCTTTGATTGTTTTACGACTTTATTTTATCCTTCCTTCGAACGGTTTTATACAGCGTATTGCGTAAAAAATAATAAAATTATGATCAAAACTTGCAGAGAATGGAATAATTAGTTGAGTAAAACTGACCTTTTCGATTCAGCGAAAGGCCGTTTACCCATTTGTCCCATTTGCATATTACTAACCGTTGAAGTGAGCATGTAGTCATCCTGGTTCGGTATTGCATTGGGAGCCGATAAACATTCACCGCGAAGGATTTTAGCTGGTAAATCTGAAAACCCTACTAAAAAGCAGAGCAGCAGTGACGAGTGAACTATCGCTATGTGCTCACCAGGCTCCGCTGTAGTTGGTCTTCCTATTCCTATGCCATCGGTTGTTCCATCAAGGACAGCATTAACCATAGCAGGTGCGGTTCTGAAGCCACCTGTCAGGTAAACAACTGTCTCCTTGAAAACTGGACGAATCTGAAGAAAATGTGTTCTGCACATTGTTAACCATTTTCTGGGAGAAGGCATAGACACAGCATGAAACCAGTCAAATGGAATCGAATATAACTATATAAGATTTCTCAGTTATCGAATGAGATACATTAGCATAAAAGCATAGTGTATTCATAATTGGGTTTGATAGAAGCTTCGACGCTATCTCAATATACAGGGGCGGGATAGGACGAAGCCTCGGAGGAGGAAGGAGATTCAGGGAGAATGAAAATGACTCACGCATATTGGAGTCTCTCCTTGTCGCTTGAGGCTTAGTTCCATTTTCAGCAAAAACTACATATTTAAGCGGTTTAAAATGCATTGTCAACACAATGCCCCGTATATTGCGATAGCGCTGAAGTTTCTTCTTATGGAGTTTGTTTTTACGATAAAAACAGCCTACGAAATCATTGATACAAAGGAGGATTCCACGATGAGGTCGAAGGTCGGAGAAGTGGAAATACTTATACCTCATGTGAAGGCAGGCGAATCCACAGTGAGGGAGTACAATGTGGGTTTCGCAGCGGAGGGTATTCCTACAAACGCCTGGCAAGGTCATAGTCGCGCCGCTCGCGCAGCTGTCCGCCTAGTCCCTCGCCGTCTGACTCTAACCGCTCTAGCAGAGAGAGCGTTAGCCTTGATGAGATCAGCGGCGATGGGACACACATAATGCGCAAATAAAGGGTACACGAAGTGAGGTCTGTTCCTGTAGCAGAAAAGTATCGCGTGCGAGAAGCAAAGAGTCAATTATTTTGATTGGCTCTTGAAATTCTACGAATAGTTCTGTCACTCAAAGTGATCGTGCCCTCCAGGTAAGAGATTGATAGTTCCGCAGATCCTTAGTGGGGATCAAGATAAACTTGGTAAACTTCCAAGATCGAGGTCTGGTGCTGGAGTACGCAGAATAATAACAGGCACACTTCTAGCGACCACATCCTAATTTCTCGAGTTTTAGACCGTTTTTCCTGCTTTTTTCCTTCATTCCACGTCTACCTTGATTTCTAGTAGACTGTCCTTTCATCGTAACTCCGTCTCGCTCGAAGTGCATCGCACGTTG